CTCGAGTTGCTTCTGAACAAAGGACAGAGATCTCCTCAGCTCCATGGATGCGACGTTCATGGATCACCCGTCGCATGATCTCCTTCAGCAGTCCTCCATGGCGTTCTCCCACGCCAAGTTGATGAGGCGCCCGTGCTCGAGTCTGCCGGATGGTGGTGCCATGGATGGTAAGCAAGTGGCTTACCTTGCCCTTGTTGTGCACAGGTCTGGTCTCCTTTGTCACACGCGGATGTTTCTCATGTTCAGTCTCCTTGCAAGTGGCGCACTGGAAGAACTTGGAAGCTTCTATGACATCTCTGTCAGCTGTAGAGGCAACGAGCATCCTCTGAAGTGCAGCATTGGAGCAATGACCAGTCATAGTGTGAAGACGACGGATGGCAAGTCTCTTTTCTTTGGCAAGTTGAAGCCATCCTTCTTTGCGCTTGCGCTCTCGCTCCATCACCATGTCGTCCACCTTGGTCATTGCAGCCTCTTCCATGATCTTCTCTTCACGTTCCATCTCCTCATGGTCAAGTCGACGTCGCCTGATCATGGGAGCAAGATCTTGCTCAGAGTGAACTCCATCGAGGCTGCCAAACTCTTCATGCTGTTCCATCACCTCTTCAACAGGAAAGGCATCGATGAGATTGCCATAGAGAAGCTCATCATAAGCGCCAGCCACAATAGCATAGCATAGCTCATACGGCCACTGCTGCGCCAAGTGCGTGCGTTGATTGCCCTCCAAAGGCTGATGCTCATGGCTGTGATCACAAAGGCGGTTGAGTCGCCTCTTCATGTAGTGCGAGGAGAGCGTAAGGCCAGTGCTCTTGCGGTGTGGCAGTCCATTGACCGGATCTTTGAGTCCATATTGACATTGGTCAATCTTCACAACTTCAACCGGCTCACTGGAAGGCTCATGGAAGAAGTGGGAGTTCAGGAAGTCGTTCAAGCACTTGATTTCCCAGATAGCACTCGTCCAAGGGTGCTCCATCAAAATGTGTCTCCCTTTTCGCAAGCGGGCCTTGAAGACATCAACCAACCAGCGGAAGACGGGGTACCAAGCGACGCGCTCGTCCATGATGTGAGCCTCATACTCAGGTCCTTTGCTGGCATTGAGAGATTGCCAAGTTGACCAGGGTCCACATTTGGGTCCTGCAACCAGAACAAAAGGGTCCATCTCCTCGATGTAGTTCTGGGCCATGGTGCGGTTCGCACTCTTCAGAAGATCATGTGAGGCATCGAAGGTCACATCAATGGGCTTGCCAACAGGTAGCCCCCAGGAAGATGCCAGAGCGGTCACCATAGCTGCACCAGCAAAGAGCTCGAGGACAAAACACCGGCATCCAAAGGGCAAAAGACGATGAGGCCGTCGAAGGCCTCGTTCTTGCCTCAAAGTTCCCCATAGTGCCAGGTCTTCCTTCTTCAAGTCCTCAGTGGAGTCGGTCATCCTTTTGCGTTGACCCTTGGTCATGATCTTCTTGGTCTCTTGAAGGATGTAGCAGAGAGTGTCCTCCTCCTCAATCATGGTCTTGTCCACGTCAGTCTCAAAAGATTTTCTCTTTGATCCGGGTTTTGGAAATGATCCGGGTTTTGCCCACTTTTTTTGTGATTGGCTTTGGGCTTGTCATTGCTCAGCTTCTACATTCACAGCTTCTACTTGGCGTAAGTTGTTTGAGCAAAAACATTTAGGCCCATAGTGTAGTGTACCTGCCATCATGTTGGAGGCCCCCAAGCCCAAAAACTGTGAAAGTCAGGCGCTTGACTTGCGCAACATGCTGTTACGCTACGATTGCTGTAAAAGATCGAGATTTTGGTCTAATGATTTGCGATTGGCTCTGGTCTCACGCTACGATTGGCTTGGGCTTGTCGCATATTGCAACTGGAACCCTGTGTGGGCTGCATCCACACCTCAGAGGGGCGTCGCAGCTTCCTTTTTTGGCTGATAACGTGAATTGGGCTGATAACGTAGGGTCACACCCACTAGCTGTGAAAGTTACCTGCTTGACTTGCGGCAGGCCCAGCACTCTGCCACAATCACATCCAGACTTCATTGCAAAGTGAAGAATTTCTCTTTGCCAGGGTTTTTTGGCAGGCGCAGCACATTGAGTTCCCAAACGTGCCCTTTCTCCCGTGTTTGTTCAATCCGCTGGGATTGCAAAACGATTTTTTAAAAAATATAATACAGGCATCGCTGGTCTCGTTGCCCACGCGCGCAAACAGCCACGCAATGATTGAAACTCTGCGCTGCAGAACCCCACATACACACAGCTGCCCGTTTTTCTACCAGGTGCTCGGCGCGCGCGTTCACCACAACTAGTTAGCTAATTTGCTCGGGGTCTTCTTCTGCTGGAGCTTCTTCCTCCCCGCCCTCATGAGCATCATCCTCAGAACCGCCGCCCGGAATGACCTCAGGTTCCTTGGCAGCTTTCTCAGAGACCTGACCCTCATTTTGAAAGGCCTCACTCGCTCTGACAGGTGGCTCAGACTCAGCAGACTCGGGGCCTCAATGCCCATACTCAGCCACGGGCTCAAACAAACATCTACTTGTCTTTGTGGTTGCAACACACCTGATTTGTCAGTTTTGGCGCCTGTCTTCCACTTTTCTTTCTCCTCGTCAGTCATGGGGGCCTCTTTTGACTCCAACTTTGGAAGGGCCCCCAAAAGGGCAGCCTCAGCGAAGCAAACCATAATTCAATGTTATCGCGAGAAACGTTCCCTCCAAGGCAAAGAAGAAAGATTGAAAAGAAAGCTTCACATGCGCGTTCAGAAGAACAGAACAGCCAACATGGAGCTGTCCAAAATATCTACTCCATTGGTGTTGGCTCACAAGCGGGCGCTTGGTACAGTTTCTGCTACCTGCTACCTCTGCCTGTGGAAGTCGACCGCCAAAACAATTTAACTAGTTTGGCACAAAAAATCCACAGCTGTGGGTTTGGGATACCTGCCAAATTCAAATGTCAAGGCGAAGAGCAGCGACCTCTTTCGCCTCAGGGAGCGACTTGCCTCCACGCAGTTCATCTCGAGCGATAGCCTTAACAGGAGCTTGCAACAGCAGGTGAGGCAACCGCTCAACGAGTCTGAGTGTCAGCACACAAATCTCATGGGTCTTCGCCCTGCTGTGGAACCAAGATCCCACCTGAGGCGCTGACTGACGATTGGAAAGTTTGTTGAAACGAAACTCTGTGTGCTCTGTGTGTTTGAAAGGATCAAAACAAGCTACTTGTTTTAACACTGTTTCTTATTTGCTGTAAGAAGTCAGCCAGGCGGAGCGACTGGAAAGTTGACTTCTTTAATCCAAAACATGGGAAACCGCAAACTTGTTTACGCGAAAGGCAATGGAATGAGCCATGGACTGACATAATCTGGCGGCCATTTGACTTCAAAGCCCATGTGTTGAGGTTCTTGTAGTAGAAAGGCGGGCCCACGCTCGAAAAAGTCTCACCTGCTGGTGCAACACATGGGCAAAAACGGAGCACCGTGACAGGAAGCGGCCTGAAGCAGCCGGACGCTTCAAAGCCTTCTTCCGGTCGTCCTTGTCAGCATTTTCCTGAACAACAACCAGCGTCAAAAGGAAATCCACGAAAATCTGCGCCCTGGTCAAGATACTTGCTCGAATCTAGCAACAATCGAACTTCCAGTCATCCAGTGTCAAAAATGCAGCTTAGAGTTTAGAGCCTCTGGAGCTTCTGCTGTTGGTTCTGCAGATTCTGCAGCGTCCTTCTGCTGCTTCTTGGATTTCTTTGGCGCTGCCTTGGACTTATTCTTTGCTTTTGCTTTCCCATCGGGCTTGTGGCTTTTTCCCTTTGGGTTCGGCTTCGGTCTGACAGCTGACTCCTCTGCAGCAACCGGATGCGTTGGAACGATCTTCTTTTTTGGAAGAACCTTTGGCTTTGCCTTTGCCGCTGGGCCGGCAGGCGCGTCGCCATCAGATTCTGACAGCTCTGTGATTGGCGGCAAGACTGACATGACGACTCGGGATGGAAGGGCGCCGGGTGTGCCTACTTCTGTTACACTCTAAGCACCTGTACCTGCGCGGCGAACAACAGAAAACTAAATCAACGTCAATTCAGGCAGATGAGATGGGCTGGCGCATTCACTCACCCCGCACACACAGAGCCCCACGAGTCTGAAACACTAAACAGTGATCGTTGCTTTCTAGAAAGACTTTTGTCTCTGTGCTACCACTGTCCTGGAACTGCCAGCTCGAATCTGAAGAAACTAAGCCCTGGCACCGCAAAGCCTAATGCAAGGTTAATAATCTTCAGCCCTGCAAACATCTACCCTGACCCTTGCAAATTAAAGCAAGCCTGCCGCGGAAGCAACGTCGCTCGTGAACAACCAACATTGAACAGCACTTCCAGGTCCAGTCACTAAAAGAACAATGATCTATGTAAAACAATACACGCTTCCTGGCAACAGAGCTTGGCGGGTTTGCGTGAGACCAGCAAATGATGTAAAACTGTGCGCATGTTTTGCGCCACTCTGTGTTCAAGTCAATTTGATCCAGGACCCCTTGTCCAGAATCACGGTCGCAGTCAGATAGAGCTTTGGCTTCAGAGGCGTGACTTTGCTTCCTTCCAAGCTGACCTGTCCCGAGAAAAAATGCACCTACTATCTAGGATCGAAAACCACCGCTTTGCACAGCATATTTCAAGCCTTGACACACTTCCAACAGAAAACAGGGCAATAGAAGTGCTGGATCCGTAAAGAAACATAATGAAACAACAGTTTGGCGACACATGAATCACAGATGTTCAAACAACAGCCGGCATGATAGTAAAGGCCTCCCACAGCACGTCCACCAGCTTGCTTTGCGGGATGCTGTCCATCCTTCCAAGCCACAGTGCTCCTGCAGTAGCGGTCTTAGCGTCGCCCTGCATGTTGTTTGGCCGGAAGACATTTGTCCGATTGCCCCTCATGGGCTCGATGTCATATCGAAATGGCACGTGCATCTCCTCACTCTCTGCAGTCGGGTCCTTTGCGCGAAGCACAACAACAATTCTGCCAACACAAAGGGCAAACTAAAACTGATTGGGCCCAATTTGGTGAAGCATTGACTCCATACAAGGGTCAACCGGGCGAAGTTTGGGGCGTACTTCATGGTTGTGAACGGAAATGTCACCAAGCCCTTGCGTTGTTGCAAGCTTGTGGAAATACTTGCACCACGGTGTGATGCGCTTGTCAACCACAATCAGATCTAAGTCCGACTGAAAGCGCCACGGCAGACCGCCGCTGTCACGCTTGGCCGTGCAAATCTTTGTCTCGAAGTTTCCTGTATTGAAGCCCAGCCTGATCCAACGAGCAGGCCGAAGAAAATTCCAAACCAACCAAATTCAAACCAAGCCCTCTCTAGCAGGCTAGACACAGTTCCAATCCAGAGATTGTGAGCTGCTCGCTGCTTTCGTTCCCAATCCACACTGCAAAGGACTTGTCAACGACTACGGTAGGCCGTCCATGCCGCCCAGCCAGCGTTACCAGCCTGACATCAGCGCAACGCGCAACCACCCGGTCATGCAACCATACTCAGTGCGTGCACAATTGAATACATAAAAACGCATTCATTCTACACTCTGTTCGAGAAATATCTTTAAGAATGGGCAATCCAGAACTAGACCCTGAAATCCCCTGAACCACTGTCCTCTCAGCAGCCTCTGGAGGAGACTGGCACAACAAATCCACCACTCGCTCCACTGACAGGGGCTCCTTCCCATCATCGATAGAAAAGTCACAATCGCCACTCACTCGTGGAGAAGCAGTCGTGGCCACGCCGCTCGCCTTACGCTGCTGCGGGAATTCTTTCAGGAACTCTTCCTTCATCTTCACCAAAGCCTTGTGGTGAGGGTCGTTGCTGGGAATTCTCTCAAGGATGTGGTCAGGGAATCTGGGCTGGCCAGCAGCATCACAACTCAGCAACGACAACCCTGTGATTTGGCCACTGCTGGTCTCCACACGCGGCCGGGTCTTTGAAGGGCTGGTGGAAAGGTCATCCCAATACTTGAAGAAGTTCGCCTCCAACATGGGGCGCATGTGCACATGACTTTGTTCCCGCGAGGCCCCGAAGTACACAACACATGGCCGTTCGCCGTTGATGCGCCGCTGAGCGCAAGCCTGTCCGAACTCCATGTACCTGCGTGGACCCACCATTGGCCCTCAAAACAACCATGAAAAAAAGAGACAGAGCGCAACAGAAAGCCATGGCGTATGCAGCCTCACTCAAACAGCAGGCCTAGCTATTGTTTATCGCGCCGCAACATAGACATAGACTTAATCAAGCTAGACTCCGCGCAGAACGTCAAAGAGTTGGAACAATGAGGGCTTGACATGAGAAGGCACCTGCTTCCGTTACGCCGTTATGCCGGAGACCGCACCCTCTCTTTGGGTCACCACATTTGTTTTGCTAAATATATATATGTTTACACTATTTGCTAATGATACGTTTTCTAGCCAAACGGGCAGTCAAGATTGGCAGTCAAGACGCCGGTTCGGCCCAATGTCAAGCCACACGCAAAGGTCCTCATCATTCAGCGTCATTCCTTCCAGAAGATCTTTGACAATGCTAGCGTGGAAGTTCACTCCCTTCCTTGGAAACAAAGGTCATCAAAAAGTCGTAAGTCGCAAGTCGTAAACCAAGGCCTTCACATAGACCCCCAACAACCCTGACCAAACAAAAATGTTTGCAGCAATTCAACATGTGAATCTGCTCTGCTCGCGCTGCCGCACCGGGTTTCTGGTCACTGTCGTATCCGATCATGTCACTCACTGCACACACAGCAAATGGGCCAAGAATGCCAGTCTGAAGCGGCTGAGACTGTTCAAGCCACTTGTTCCCTGCCTTCCCAACAGCACACACCAGGCAAGGCTGCGAAGGCGTCCTCTTGTCAGTGCTTGCTCTTGTTGAATCCTTTTGAAACAACAACGTCAAGCCCGTAGTGAAGTCAACGTCAAACTTGAGAAGGGTGTCTTCGATCAGCCGCTTTCGCTTCAGTAAGGCCGGCAACGTTGTTTGCGTGTGGAACAACGGCAACTGGATAAACTCAATGCATGTGGAGCCAGTGCTACAAACATTGGCCAGCATTTGAATCATGTCCGTCACATTCTCGTTCTGACTCCACACGGTGGCGTCAATGGCTGCAACAATGTACCTGGGCCAAACATTCGGAGAGGGTTTCACACCCCTAGTGGGAAAAACCGGATCCACACTTAGCATGGTTACTTTACATATTTACCGCCAAGGCACACCTGGCCACTTGCGTTCTTCTCAGCGATGAACTTGTTGAACTCTGGCAGCAAAGTAGTGACTTTCTCTGACTCCGGGAGGAGTGCCAAACGACAATTGTTCAGCATCAACTCTTTCGTAAACTCCATCCTTTTCCTCACTGATCAATACCCCGCCACCAAAATTTATAGCTAATAATCCCAGTAAAGGCGGCGCCACAAAACAAGAAACAAACAAGAATGCGCTGAAGGCTGAGGGTCTGCTGCCGCGCCTTCAAGTATTTCATGTCCAGAAGTGTCTCCATGTCTGCTGCAGCTTGAGTCGGTCGCTGTGCGCGGATGATGTTCAAATCACTCTGTATTTGTATTTCAAGCTGGTCAAACGTGGCCTTGTGGACCTTCTCAGCAAGCTCCCGCACACGATCCTCTCTCTCCATCGCCACTCTCGTCTCATAGCTCTTCACTTTATCCCTGCAGGGAGCAGTTCCATGACCAACGCTCAAAGAATATTTTGATTGAACCGCTCAGCCCAAATAACCCAATCTGAAACAAAGAAAACATCAAACACAAGTCCATGGCCTGAAAGCCCCAACAGCCATGAGGTCTGCCGGCGGAACTGAACTTTCAGCAATATGGGTCAGCTCGGCGTCCATGATTCCGCACATGAACACCTTCATGAGGCTATCGGCAAAGCCTGCAAACTCAGAAGATGGCGCCTTCTGCTGCAGAACCTCCAACATGTGGAGAAAGATGCCGCAGCAAACATGAATAGCATTCCCATCCTTCATGCTCCAAGCCTTTCGCATCTTGTCTGATTGGGCGTCCCAGTCAGCGCAGAGTCTGGCCACAAAAAGCTTCACCTCAAACATTGAACAAGAAAGGACGTTAAACCTCAAACAGTAAACGCGAAACGATGTTAAACGCAACTTTGCCTCATCACAAGTCAGTATACGTATAACCATCCATGAACAATTGGGTTAAAAACAGGCGTTGGGCTCAATGCCATTGCGTCCACGTGACCAGCTTCAAGTCATCAGAGTTCGTCAAGAAGCTCATCCACGCCTCCGTGGATCCCTGAGCACTGGTAAAAGCTTGGTTGAAGGCTCCACGGGCAATGATATCATGCGTTAAGAAGTAACGCATTCCCCTTCTGGACACAGCCTCTGTGAGAAGCGACAATATGGCTGGGTGAACTTTCACCTGCAGCGCAGAAACTGCTTGGCTCTCTGCACGTCCAACCGAAAATGCTCGTGAAATTGCCGCCACATTCTCCCACTCCTAAAAAGCGATGCAAGCAAGTCTTCAAAACCCGCTTGTTTCCAGATTACATCAACCCTCAAAACCTGACCGCTGTGTTTACAAAGTGAAAACTTCCTGACAGACCAAAAAGTTTCAGAGAACTGTTGATCTGCATTGCCTTGGCCACATCGATTCAGAATGGTAGCCTGTCTCATCAAATGAAAGCAATTTGGATTCCTCCTTGTTGCCGTGCTGGACAAGGAAATTCCCCGATTCGTGTAGATTTGGTCCTTCACCGAACTGTATTTGCCCACGATGCCGCAGATAGTTGCAGCTGAAGCCTGGCTGAAGGAGCGCTCAGCGTACCCAAGAAAAAATGTCTAGAGGGTCAAGTTCTCTGTGGGCGCACCCTGCTCTAGTTCTTCGTAAACCATGATTACTGTGCATCCCCTGATTGCTACAGAGACTGCGTCGGTGCCTTGAAGTTCTGAGGAACTTCGTCCAGGTCCACTTGAAGCTCGCGGATCGCAATGCAAACGCTCAGGAAAGCGGAGCATCTGCGCCAACCCTTCACGTAGCCAACGCTGAAAGGCGCTAACAAGTCTCCTGAGATCCCCGAAACTGACCCCCATCGTCACAGTGCAGCTTTAACTGCTTCGAATCTTGTTATACAAGCTTCCGACACCAGTCAGCTTTGGCAACTCAACGTACACGCTATCAAGAACAGTAGCTTCTGGCAGCATCACTGAAATCCGTTCCACTCCCGGAAGGGAGTCTGCGTCTGTCCGAAACCTCATTCGGCTGGCAAATTAATAGAAAGCGAATCAGAAGTCTGTACTGCTTGCCCGCCCCAGCCCCAACCCTACACACCAACAACCCGCCAGCTCTAACGGTCAAGCTACCCTTCATTGAATATCAATTCCATCAGAACAGCCATATCTTCCGGCTCAGCATAGCTACTGAAACTGAAATCCCTCCGGTAGCTCAGCATCCATGGACGCAACTTGCATGGGCCTGGCTGGAAATCTGTTGCGTAGCCGCACCTCGCATCATTTTGCAACTGACAACACAAGTCCATTGCCATGAACGACCGTCAGAATAACTAATTAGAATGCCATAATAAAAAGACTCCATCGTTGCCGACAGAAACAAGTAGAAACAATCCGATCGGTCAAAGGTTTCACAGGGCCTGTTGTCAGGTGGGAAGGTTGTTTCCAACCACGAAGCCAGCTCAAGTAGGGCCGCCTGAACCCCAAAGGTTTCTCAACGCCAAGGATTGAAATTAAATCCAAGGAATACACACAGCCCGCTCACCTCACTCTTGTAGGTGTGCAGAATGAACTTCTCCAGCCCACCCTCTGGCACCACGTTTCGATGAAACCTGGTTACCCAAAACAATGAACACAAAGCGTTTTGGAAGTGTGGCCTGAGAAGCCCATTTCAAAAAGCATTCTTCTTTGCACCAACTGCACATTGCAAGCGCAAATCTACAAAAAGCCCAGCAACCACTCCAAGATCTTGTCGCATATGGGGTTCTTTTTGCCTGTGAACTTCAGCGCCTTCCCTTTGGGATCCACGCCAGAACCACCACCGGACTTGCGTTTACCCATTCACGAGATTCGCACAAAGAAAGCGTCTGACTTGACCAACAAAAGCTAGGAAGGAAAGGTTACTTGCGAACAAAGTTCAACACGAAAGTCCTTATCAGTGAAAAGCCAGAAAGCACAGCTCCACAAACAGTGATCTGTGCGCATATTTTTTTGCGCAGCAAAAGGTGGCCATCAAGCTCGTGATTTCAACCACCAAGAAATCAAAGCAACGATGGCCTGGCGTTTGAAGACATAACACATTCTTGGTAACAAACCTGGAACGTATGTCCCAAGCCTGACGGACTGTTTGTCAAACTTGTCAACGCCAACCTCAAGCACAATCGCGGCCCCAAAGTCAAAACAACAAGTCGTTTGGTACCGAGTGACACGGGTAGGAAAAACATGTTTGTAGTAGATCTCCTCAACTAATCATGTAGGCCCCACGCCCGACGACTGGCAATCAGCAACCATCTCTGACCTTGTCAGAGCTGACCTCAAGCACTATCCCACACCCCAACTAAGGGCAAAGTTATATAAAGGCTTCAGAAGGCGCAGAAATATGAACCTACGACCTACGCTTGTAGCAAAAACTCGGAGGTAGGTTCCAAACTCGACGGCTGTCTGTCAGCAACCAGTTCCGGCCTCGTCCAAGCCGACCTCAAGCACGTTCGCTTGGGGGCAAAAACAAGTGGCGCTGTTTGCGCTCCAAGCACAACAGGTTGCGTCTAATAATCTTGACCCTGAGTTTGACCCACTTGTTGGCAGGGTGCCTATTTGAGATGCAACACTGATGATTCTGACAATGAACTGAAGCCTGAACCAAGTCGTGGTGAATTGTGACTTCGGTTGTGGCTTTGGGAGCCATAGATCTGGCCAGTCAACAATAATTTGAAGGGGAAGGAAGTCCAATGCTACTGACCGTGATTTCAAAACAACATCCCCACCTTTCCCCTGAAAAGTGAGTGGTGTGTGTTTTCTCTCCAGGGCCGAAGTGACGGATTCCATCGGCGTCCGTCGCTGAAGTGACGGATTCCATCGACATCTGTTGCGGGAGTGACGGGTTCCATCGACATCTGTTGCAGAAGTGACGGGTCCCGTCGGCAATCATTGCTCAAGTGACGGATGTCATTGGCATTCGTCACTTCAACCCTCTCTGTCTCAAAGTATCTCATCTCCATTTCCACAAGTTTATATAAGGAACTAAACTCTCGCGAAATTTTTCCCACAACGTTTAGGGTTTAGGGTTGGCGGTTGGTCGGTTTTAGGGTTCTCCAAGTGACATATGTCAATAGCATCCGTCACCAGCCCTACAAATTCTTTCTGGCCTCCAAACCCTTTAGGTTTTCCGCCACTTCCAGGACAATGTCACAAACACCTACGTGGTGACCAATGCGGGGTGGGATTGGTCACTCCGCTCCTCAACACAGCTAGTTCAGTATCCACGCTCAAAACAGAAACCTTCAAAGGTTGCACAAAGAACAGGGTGTAGTGACGGGAGTGGGGTGGCATCGGTCACCACACAGCTGGCCATTGAAATCAGAGTGGGGTGACCAATCCAGCCAAGTTGAGCACACTTGACCCCGACCTAATTTAGCATCTCCGACCATGGGCCTTTGGCTTAGCCTTTGGCTTGACCTTAGGCTTGGGAGCAGGATTTGCCTTGCTGATCGCTCGCTCAGATAAACACAAAGCTTCAGCCCAAGGAACGCCGGCATTCCAAGCGTTTGCTGCTGCCTCTAGAATTATGGCCCTCTTTGCGCGCTCAAAATAAATAGCAGAATGCTGGCGGTCTTTCTTTCCTCGAGCCAGCCTAGGAAAATGTTTTCTGCGACTGTTGGGTTATCACATAAACAAATCATTATATATATAAACTGTATATATAAGCATATAACATTTATAGAAACTAGTCACGGCCAGCAACTTCAACTCATTCGGCTGCGGGTCAAATCGTCGGACACGATCGAGCATCATCCGGTCAGCCTCCGTGCAGACTCTGCCACCACCAAAGTCACACCTACAGCCATCAATGAGAATTGGGCTGGCACAGATTGAAGTCCGGAAACTTGAGACAAGCTTTTACACGCCTTTAAGGAATGACTTGTGTGTTGAATTTTGCTAAGTTGAAATCATGTCCTGCCAAGGCGCGCAGAGATATCAAGCGGTGGGCTCAGTTCAAGGTCCCCGTTCACCCAACGCTCAAAATGGTCTGCTGCCTCATTCAGGTTGTAGCTCCGCAATATTGGTATGTGCTTCTTGATGTGGTCCACATAGTCAGCCGGCATTGGCCTTTTTGCAGCTGTTCCTGCATGCAGGGGTCCAAAACAACAACAAAAATCTCAACTGGTCAAACAAAACGAGGACAACACACCGGCGCAACAAAATGCCAGAGATATTTAGTCTGATATGTTGGTTGGAACGCTCCTTTGGGCAAACCAGATGGCAACCTTTGCAGCGCGCATTGTCTGGGATACCACAATTGGCACGAAGAGTACGCGGCGTCTGCCATGTACCGCCGGGTCCTCACCCCAAACCAGGACCAACATATAATGTAACATATGTGAAATAAACCGCAGAGCCCCGCAAAAAGAACAATTACACTCTTGGTCTGTACTCGAAAAGGGTTTGCAGAAGGTCTGCTCAATGTATGGCTGCAAGCGGCCGGAGCACAATGTCCCGAGGGTGCTCCTCCCCCAGCTGCAGCTTCCAGTAATCATCTCGGATCTCCGACGCCTCCAAACCTTGGTAAACAATAATCATAAGCCAGGGTGGGTGGAGCGGGAGTTGAAACACTTTGATGACTTGGCCCCACGATTGGCTTGGACGCCGGATAAGCATGTAGTCACTAGATGCCACTTAGCAGCCCAAACTTTCGCGAGTGTTGAAAAAAAAGGCATGCGGTGCGCCTGGGCCGCCAATCCCTTGAAGCGAGACCGGCACAGCTTCGGAAAGATAGCCACGCCTGAAACCACAGTCAAGGCGCAACAAGCTGCGATGTATAGATTTCAATCCTACAGTTAACAATAAGACTCTGCCCACAACTTGAGCAAAGAGTGAGCTTCTCTGGGGGAAAGCAAAGGAACACAAAATCAGAAGCCACAAATAGTCTCAGCAAATGAGTCACCAGTCCCGGTGTTGGTCAAGTTTGACCACAACTCGGTTCCTTTCGTAAGGACGTTGCGCCCCATCTGCAAATCTCTGAATGACCCGAATGAACTGGTCGGGAGTCTCACAATGACGGGAGTGCCGGACGATGAAGAGCGCTAAGGATCCGAAAAGCTGATCTATGTCTTCATGACTGTGTCCGGATCTCAAATGCTGTAGAGATGCTGAGGCAAGCACTCCTGCACTTACAAGTGCGCTCAAGAATCTCAAAGCTGTAGCATTTTTGAGTTCTCTGGTGGTGTTGTCGGCCTGCACGTGGAGATTCAACATTGACAGGTTGACACCTGACTTCCTCAAAAGAGTCAGTAGGTGAGCAAGGAGCTCAACCATGACCGAGGCGTCTTTAGGGTGGTCATGGTTTGAGGCAGCCAACACAGTAGCAAACCCATGAGCAAGCATGCCGGTCACGTGTAAACCCTTGCGGCCATGTGCCCTGAAAGCTCCCTGATCAACAATTTATGATGAAGGCACGACGCGCACTGGGAGTGAAGTGAAGCAGGCCGGAAGCGTAAGTGCGGAAACTCTACACCTTTGGTCTGGTCCATTCCACGCATCATCTCCCAATAATCGCGCATAACGCCAGGGGGCAAAAATCGAACTTCCTGAGTACTTGACGGGCAATCTGGATGTCTCTCCAAATGCAGCTCAAGCCCAAACTTTCGCTTCCGAGCTTTCTTTCTGGACCCAGGCCCAGCTGTCAATGCCAATTTTGCTGCCAAAGCCTTTCTCCCATCCTCAGAAAGAGACTCTGCGTACTCGTCCTGCAACACCTCTGCGCCAACTGTCAGGGATGTTATGACACCGTCGTCTCTGATGTCCGGCAATGTTTCAGCCACTGATTCATAAATGGATTGGAGGAACGAGGTCACTCGAGCCGTGGCTGTCTCTCCAGCAACCTTTGCTCGAGGTTGCTTGAGGAAGCGCAGGTCCATAGGTGGGGTCACCCGCCCGTTCTGCACAGCATCCCACAAGCGGTTACAACGGCCAGAGCCTTGGCTCGTGTGGAACTACTTGCAAGAGGCTGTGCAATGTGGTTTTGTTTTCATGGACTTGATGGCATTCGTTGTTGTTTTCCTGGCAATTCCCCGCAATGGTTTAAAAATTATGTTCTTGTAAGTTGCAAAATTATCCACACAGCATCGAGCGAAACACCCCTTGCCCCCCCTAAACGAAGGCCGAATGAAAACTTTGATTGGCTTTGTTCACTCTTTATTCTTTATCCGTCAACGAACTTAGACTTAAATGTTGTTAATGCCCCTGATGCAAAATGCTGGCTCCAAATCGGGGGCAAAGCGACTTCTAAAATTCTTTGCTTGGCCAACAACACCCCACGATTTCCACGAAGCAAGAACCCAAGGAGAAGTTGTCAAGACATAAAACGAAAGGTGTCCTAAGGATCCTTGTGACACCTTTCGGTTTGAAGTCCTTTCAACTTCTCCTGGATTGCTACGAGAGATTGGCCCAACGCAATCACCGTTTGCCAAAAAAACAGTGGCTGACATTCTGGCCATGCACCGATGCTGCGCAAACGTTTCCAAGCCTGCAAGCAGACCTTCACGCCCATGAAGCTCCAGGAGGCACAAGGTGAGCCACAGTTGTCAGCATCTCTGGCATGGTCTCTCATCCGATCAAACACCTAGGGGGCGCTGGTCCACAACACAAGCAACAAAGACCTTTTCACGGTTTTCAGCGTGGCTTGGATAACCGACCACATGAATTACTCAGCGTCAATGAGAAATGGACCCACCCTTAGCCCCGTTTCCACTGCGGCTACCACAAGAAATTATAACAAATACAAAAGGTGTTGACAGGCTCAAGCAAGGGACCAGTCGGTCAGCATCTAGCTTGTGAAGTCCGGACAGTTCCTTTCTAAACGCCAAGAGCTTTTCAAACAGATGTTTCCCCTTGAACTTTTGCAAGCAGCCTTTCCTGCAAGCCCCCCCACAACGTTGCCGCAGCAGTTTTTGGCATGTCTGCGCATCCTGAAGACGCTCTTTGTGCGTCGGCCCAGGCTTGCGACGGCTCTTTCTTGGCTTAGGGTCTAGTGGTTCCTCAGGACAATCATCGAAGCTCTCCTCCGACGCTGATAGGGTGAGCGCAGGGGCTAGCGGCAGTGCGCTGGTCGGTCGGGCCATCGTGCCCGAGCCATCGCAGAAACCCTTGAAGATCAAAGAAACGTGGGTCGAAAAGATTACTGTACACCATTGGTTTGTGATCTAGCAGTCTAGCGGCTCTAGCGCTCTTAGAACTACCGGGGAAGAAAGTCTACTTTTGCAAAGCGGGTGAAGCGAGCATCATTGGGCGCACGGTTTTGGGTCACAGAAAACTCAAAAAATGCATGTCTGAGTCTGAGTCTGTATGTCTCATTGAGGGTTGGCTTTGATTTGTTCCATGGTTGGAGTTTGACTTGGACCCAGCTGCTGACGCAAGCATTCTTTCAAACTTGCCTGAAAACATAGAGCAAAGCAAAATGTTTGCGCAAAGCTTGGTCAGAACTTGACACCCCACTCTCCACAACCTTTGTTTTTCATCCCGAGACTTGCGTGAAAGTTCCGACACTAAGTTTAACAAACAACTCCGCGACTCCGTGTCAATTTGGAAAACAACTTAGTGTCAGGAGCGGAACCGGTCAAGCGCCGCTGTGGTCTCCTGCAAACGTTCCCTCTGCTTCTGACAGGCCGCAGTCAATGCAACCATCAAAACATCCAAGGCTCTGCGGTCATCTGGGTGACACGCGTTCTCTACGCCGGACAATTGTAGGCGTGCCGCATTCAACCGCTCGTCGATTCTGGTGTAGCGCTGCAGGTCTGAAGTCAACCGATAGAGAAGCTCCGCATCTTCACCTTCAGGTGGTCTTTCTTCATCCGGCTGCAAGGCTGGCAGAGTAGGAAGCATAGCTAGGAGACCCAGTCTGCGCAGTTATATGGTAACAGTCAGTGAGTGTTCCATCTTCTGGAAAATATGCGTCCTTGTGAGATGTCCCTGAAGCCTGAAATTACAAACCGATGAGTTTGCTGCTTGAGCCCGACTTGGGTCGTGGAAACACTCACGCACATGCGTTTAAAAATATCCCAGCGATGGGTTGGAATGGTTCTGTGGCGCTAGTCAGCTAGTCATCCCTGAGAATCCGACTGACGAAGAGTCAGAGGTGGTAGAAGTCCCCTGCGCTGGAAACGTCAAGCCTGCTGCTCCTGGAGAGCAAGCAAGAACAGGGTGGAAGGGACAGAATGTAGCTGTATTGCAATCGCTGGCATTAAAAAGGCCCCAATCGTTTTGAATTGGAAAGAACAGGGTCAATTTCACAGCATTGACATTGAAATCATGACCCCCCTTGCCTGAAGGTGTTGGCAACGCAAGGTGGTGTAGGACCGTGAACTTCTCTGGGCAGGTCTTCAAAGCTAGAGCTTGGTTTCGCTTGCCACGATAATCAAAGAAATGGTGCATGGACATCTCGGTTTCATCAGCTTTGGTTTTGGTCTCATCAGCAAGCCACAAGAAGGTTGTGCAATGTATGTCCATGTTTGTTCCATACACAACCGAAACTAACTCATCAGCATGCCCCGGAATGAGGGGCCCGCCATCTGGAGCCGACCATATGGCCCTCGCCGTGGGCTCGTCAACCAACATCATCTGGTTCTGGAAGAGGATCCTGACAATACTTCCAATCACCCAAGTCCCAGTTTTGGCCACATAAAGGAAACTGTCACGCAATCAAAGCACAGAAATTAAAGTTCTAGCCAAAGGTCGCGTATTTCCTTTCCAAAGTTGGCTCTGACATCATGAAAACCCCTTCATCATCAAGCCCACCAATTCGAGCTCGGAACAACGATGTAAAACTGACGACCAGGGAATCGTTGAGGGCAAAGAATGGAAGAAGCGCCGCTACCTGCTTTTTCTGTAGAGGTCTCTCCTGTGCTTGGCCATCCGGCCAGGACGTGATCAAGGTAGGATGATTTGGCATTTCTCCCGCCATCAGGTGGCAGCAAGAACCCTTAGGACTCGCAACCTCAACACAAAAGGGGCTAGCGTCGGTGCAGCTGTTTCATTTGTCACGAACTGCTAACACTATGACAGCATGAAACAAGCTAGGCAATTCTTACATTGTTGGCATGCGCAGCTCTTGCGTTCGGCTAAACCTTGCCATAAGTCAAGGCGTCCAAATTGTTTTCTCCTCGTTTCGCAATCAACGGTGGCTCGACCTTGAATTGGAGCGCTGAGGACCGCTCTTCTCCGATAATTAGACTTGCACAGGCACGCATGGAGTGGGCGTCGTATGTTTGGCTATTTGACATAGCACCAAGCAACAAATGAGGTCAACCTAGAAAACACTGCTGCGCAGCTAGCCTAAAGCCATCATCAGCCCAAAGAAATCATGCGTGACAAAAGCGCCGCTCCTAAGCTGGCTTGGGGTGGTACGACTATGTTGCCGCAAGCCTTGATCCGCTGCTTGTCGTGTTCGCTGAGGTTTGGGACAAGCCATTTCTCCAATGGAACGGGGTTGCGGGCATTCCACGAATCCTGAGGCCAAGAATCCAAAGATGGCGGATCCTGCAAGAACAGGCGGCTACAACAACATGACATCAAGCAACTACTGAAACCAAATCTCCTGTAGCTGAGGTGGACAGCGAGGGTGATAGGCAATGAGGAAGCATCGAGGCCTCTGCGCCTCAGGCGGCAGATTTGATGGGCGCAGAAAAAACTAGAAGCTGTAGAACTGTTAAGTTAAGCCTCTGGCCGGCAATCCTGCATGCGACAGGCTGATCGTACACCATTGCAAGCGAAGGCCTCGAGCACCGCACTCCTGACAAGAAGAAGCCCGTGGTAAGCCCTGCTTTCAGAACAAAATGTAACACATGGCCTTCACGAGATAGTTGAACATTTTCCGGCATTCCACTTGCTGGCTAATGAGTGCTTTCACGTTCTCTAGGATGAGAAGTTGCCTCCCAATCAGTTTAGACTGCGGGCAAGTTTTGCAAAGCGAATCATACCGCAGCTCAGCTCCTGACACTATCGGCATCTGGTCCCAAACTTTCCAAATATGCTTGACCAATGAACTGCGAGCGTCATTCAGGCCAGCTTGGTTGCCAGCGCCGGAAATGCCCTGGCAATGGGATGTCCCCAAAATGTCCGGTTTGTTTATAGAAGTGTTGCGAGAACAAAAACTAGAGCTGAGCGTCCGCTGAGCGCCCAACCTGACAAGGCCAACCAGCCATCAGGGCCGTCGCCTCCGCAGCGGGCCCTGCAGGCAAAAATGTGGTAACGTCGTCATGGATTGGGGCGGGAGCTAAACAGCCCTCAGCCATACGTGCTCGAAGAACTTGTTGGCAAAAAGGATCGCATTCAACCTCAAACCAACTTGACTGCAACTGCCCATTCCCATCGCGGAACTGTCTGTGAAAGTGAGGCCAGGACATATTGAACCACCTCTACGTACCTGACACTGACATTGGCAACAGGGAACCACCCGAACACCCTATCACCGACCGTCACGTGCGCATGGCATGTGTGTGCGCGCACGTGTGAACTTGAACACAAAATACGCGCATTTTTAACTGCGCTCCCTATTTCTTCAATTGCTTCGACGGTCGATCGCCATCCGCTGTACCATGAGGTGAAACGTGAGGTTGCGCTCCAATGTCCTGGGGGAGCAACTGGAAGACTCGCAAAGTTTTCCTAACTAGGGGAAACAGTCCTCTTTGCCAGGCGACTCTGGCTTGGTTTGCGCACATTCTGGAGGATCGAGAAATGGCACCCACTCCGCCCTGTTCCACTGCCACCTCGCATTAATATCGAACCCAAATGCACATAACAAATAAGTCACGTAGCGTGTTACACAAAATTAAAATAGAAGTGAGAAGAGGTTCCACTAAATACCTGCGCTGTTCAACCGTGCACTGAATGCAGGCTGGGTACCACTGGTTCCTCCATTTGCAAATCACCATTGAGCCACGGGGTACCCTTGGCAATTACACTCATTAATCAATGTCAAGTGTTCACAGACTCACACAAGATTCAGGAATCAAGGAATCTGCTCAATGTTGCCTAGAAACCTGATTTGGTTTATGCCAACAGTTCGCACTGTCTCCATGGCATAAAGTGCGGCCATCACAAACTACCCGAACCCATCCACTTGAATCAAAATTCACCGCCGCAAGTGGCAAACTAACTTGAAATTTGCCATTGCAAGAACAACTGAAACTCTCTGCTTGCGCACTTCTGCCATCCCAGCTCCAAGCCCCCGATGCCAGAAAAAAGGCTGACGCCTTTGATCTTGGGCGCCTGCCAAATTCGATAGAAACAAGGCAAAGCCTGCAACAGTTGCCAAGCACACTGCCTCCACGACATCACGGCCACGGCCGTTGCGAAATTCAGCGCTGTCCACAGCTCCCACGTCTGGTGAGGTCCACCCTCGAGGCAACCCCGACAAATGTTCAGCAGCTTCGACACTCACAAATCTACCAGGTTGAATCTTCTTCTCACGCGTTAGCTTCTGATAGTCCACGGAGTGCCGGATCATGTTCGCAAGATCCTGCCAACCAGTCAGTCTTCGACTGCGCGTGAAAAGTTCATAGAAATAATCAATCCAAGTCCCGGACTGAAATGCCCCTTTCGCTCACATCACCTTTTGTGGCTGTGACTGAAGCTGAAAAGCAACCTCAGTGACAGGATGAAAGGAAACAATGGTGATTGTAGATGATGAACCCTTGAAATAAGGCCGGCGCGAATGCTTCCCCAAGATTTAAAAGTCTTCGTGCCACTGAACCTTTGGGCCCCATTGTCCTTCTTTCCAGGACGGGCTGCGCAGGCCTGACACGCTAAGGGCTACCCAAACACATGAAGCGCATGTTTAAAGACTTGACTGAGGAATCTGCCACTCGCAAGCCGAGAGGTTTGACACACTGAAGTGGAGCTGTGACTGGATGAAGTTTCTTCTCGAAGATCCATCCATGCGCAGGCAACTGCGAGCAACAATCAAACCAAAAACTATCCACATTTACAGCACATAGCGACTCAGTGACAGGAGAGGCCTTAGTGCAGGACTTTGGTTTGTATTGAACAGCCATTCGCCGCGGCACCTGGGAAAATCGAACGTTGCAAGCAATCAGGGGTCTACAAAGCTCAGAGGTTGGCGCCGTGAGTCCCTCAAAGTGCTGGTTGGCGGCAACAACCCCCTGCACAGTGACAACAATACAAATCCAACTCAATTTGCTCAAGGGCCTCTGCTTCAAATTTGACCCCACCAAGTCCAAAAGAAACACATTCCTCCTAAAACATTGCTGCCTTCTTCTTCCTTGCCATCTTTGCTGGTCGCTTGGCAATCGATTTCAGGACTTTCTTGGTCTTGGAACTCGCGGCCTCACACTCAATCAAATAAACTCGCGGAACCGACAGGTCAACTTCAATACACACCGAGAAGAGAAGCGCCACAAGTAGCCATAACATTCTAAGCCTGGCCTTGCCGTTTTCAGAAGCCGGCTGCGTCATGAGACCCTCTGTTTCTGAATCCGACCTTGCGGGTAATGAATCGCAGTCGCACAGACACCTCCCAAATTAACGCCGTCAGTTTAAGCCCGCCGCAGTTCATCAACTGGCGGCAGGCTAGCCATGTGCCGCCAAGAACTAACACAAACGGCCGCGTCTAAAAAAGCAGCAGGTCCAGGTCCAGGAGTCCACCAAGCAACGAGCGCTCGACGGTCATCACACGTAACGCAAAAAAGACATTGCAAACTAAGCAGTTACAGTTAGCTGTTGCCAGCAAAAAATGTGAGCGCAACACACACAGAAATTATTACAATCATTTGGCCCCAATGTTTTCCAAAAAATCATTCTATAGGTCGCACGGTTCCTTCCCCACTACGCAAACAACATATGAACATGATTAAACATTTTTCCTTTTCCTTGAGCCGACCCTTGAGAGCTGTGAGTGTAGAAGCTGAGCAACGACAAGCCCAAAGCCAATCACAAACAAAGTGGGCAAAACCCGGATCATTTCCAAAACCCGGATCAAAGAGAAAATCTTTCTCATTGGAGTCAGGCTCTGACGTGACATTGCTTGAAGGCGAAGTCGCAGCGGTAGCATTGGGACTCATGGCTCCATTGGAACTGGTATCATTGTCATCCCCCTCTGAAGCATAGTCCACCTGAAGTGCAACATCATGATGATCCTCAACCGAGGGAATCAGGCAAAGTGCCGGCAGGCCATCACGGTCCACGATCTCCAAGTAGTTGTTCATGCGCTTGGAGAAGACGGTCTGCTCTTCTGCGTCGATCACCAGGCCAAGGGAACGTTGGGCCTTGGTGCTCAGCAACAAAGGGGCATCACTGCCGCTGAGCTCAGTTGAGGTGATCATGCCGCTAGCAATGTCGCCATTCTTCAAAGCAAACAGCACAGGGATCTGGCGCAATCCAACCACTTGGACATTTCCACCAACTCCACGAACACGTCCATGGTGAGGTTGGAGTTCAGGGCATAGTCCTGTCATCTCAGTGTAGCGAGCCATCCAACCAGCTCCATGACAGGTGTTGTTGCAACCAGTATCCAAGATGCAAAGCAACATGTCCTCACTGCTGGGCCCCGTGTAGGCCATCATGGCGGTACCAGAACGAGTGGCCAGGTACTTGGCAAACTCCTGAAGCTGGGCATTCTTGATCTTGCCAGCTCGGTGTTGTCCAGTGAGGTAGTTGCAATAGCTGTGCTCAGTTTCTGCGACCATACGGAAGGTCTTGCCCTTCTGCTGTCCATTGTCCAGGATCTCTGCATCCCATGCGGACAGGTCTTGAGGTAGCACTTCACGAGGTCCAAGTGTCCTGTCACCATGAGTAGATGGTGCACTGCCCGTCCGAGATGGCACTGGACTCTGAGGTGCTCGCTGAGGCGTATGGAAGCTTTCTTGTGCCATCGATGAAGACGGTCTCGGTGGTGTAGCCGGCATAGGTCGATCCACCCGCTGAGATGTCACAGGAGCTCCATAGACCTTGTCTTTGCAGCGGCGGTAGATGAGGTCAAGTTGATCTCCCGTCACAAGGCCTGTTGTGTCCTTGTGGATGCCAATGGTGAGCTGCATCATCTCCAAGACCTTGGCTGGTGGGTCATCAGCCAGCCATTGACCAACTTGTCCAACACGATGAGGTGCCGCTTCTACCGCTTGAGCTCCTGTCTCACCGGGATTCTTGTAGCCGGTCGCCGTCTCTCCACAATTGAGGCAACGCCAACGCCAAGTCGTGGCAGTGGTGCCACGCCAATCCTTTCTCACATGAGGGCATTCCCAACGATCTTGCGTCTGCGTAGGCTTCGTTGGATCCTTCTTCATGAGGTGCAGGATGAAGCCGCAGTCCTTGCAGGTGATCTTGGTCTGATAGGCATTGGTGCCTGCACGAGTCGTGTTGGGATGGTGACAAGCCCTCTGCTTCAAGGTCGTGTCCTGTGGCGGTGGACATATTCATCCGCAGGATTTTCGCTTCTTTTGCAGCTTGAGCTGGTACTTGTTGATCTCCTGGAACTGGTAGCGGAGGTACTTCAGGCATAGAGGCTCCACCATACGCTGACATTCCGGGAAGCGATGATATAGGAGTCGATGTGAGTGCAAGGCCCGACGGTCCTGGCATACTCGAGAACATAGGCGATAGATTGGACTGAGGCATACTCCAAGACGTGGTGGTCGTCACATGCATGCTTCCATCACCTGAGGGAACCAAACCAAGTTCTGAAGCTTCCCACTCAGCATCCTCCGGAACAGGTACTTGTGGTGGAGATCCTTCAATGGCCAGAGTCTGTTGGCTCTGCATGAATGCCGCCTGCTGGATGGCAATGTCCAACAGCTGATCTGCGGTCAGCTCCTGGCTCTGTCCAGCTGAAGTCCCCTGCAAAGACGACGGAGGTGGCACTTGTCCGAACTCATTCACGGCCATCATGGCCTGGGCCTCAAGGTGCTCGTCCGGATTGTCATACTCGGTCACGGTGAAGTAGACCACACGCGGCTTGGGCCCTGATCCCTTGCCACTGGATTTCTTGCCACCGGAAGATGCCGTCGTGGTAGTTCCAGTCATAGCAGTCGACTTTGCTCCTTTCTTGCCGCCACCACTGTACTTGGGACAGATGTAGTCGGTGCTCCAGTGTCCAATCTGTCCACACTTGCGGCAAGTTGTCTTCTTCTTCATGGCTTCAACGGCTGCTCGACGATCAGCCATCTGCTGCTTGCTCTTGCCCTTGCCACTGAAGCGTCCTTTGCCTCCTCCAAAGCCAGTGTGACCTTGGCTTTGAGCACGACTGTGCAGGAACATTGCCTCTGCTTCAGCTTGCACGATCTCGGAGGCATACTCAAGGGCTTCAGCGTTGTTTTCATCCAGGCCTTCTTCAACCAACGCGGCATAGGCCTCAAGAGCGAAGTCAATCTCAGTCTCCTCATACTCCACAGGGTCCTCGTCATAGCCTGTGTGATAGGAGCTCGTCATGCCATGATCCAGCTCATCATATCCACCAAGCGACTGCGAATTGGTGTCATCCCAATCCTCGGCTGCTGCATAGGCCTTGTGGCTAGAGTTCCATGAGTGCGATGAAGTCCTCATGGATTTGCCTTTTCCACTTCGGTGGAACCGTGCATCTTGTTGAGATCTCTTCAACTCCAGCTCGTGGACATTGGGATGTTGTGCGATCAGTTCATCGCAGACTCGGTTCACCGACATGTCGCCACCAAGCGCCGTGCGAACCATCAGCATGTGGTCATGGGAGATGCCACTCGACATGAGCACCTGCTCGCTCAAGATCGCCTCGGGAAGGGCCAACTTGTCATCAAGATCTAAGAGCATCTTGTACCAGGTGCGACGTCGAAGGAGAAAACTGATCATGGGTTCTCCATGTTGTCGACTCAGAATCCCATGGTTCTGGGCACCTGCTTGGTACAGCTCACGTGCTTCCTGTTGGCGTCGAGGTCGAAAGGCTTGGTACAGGTGGGTCAACAAAAGCTCTGGACCATCTTCTTTAATTTTGCCAACTTCTTCAGGTCGATCTCGCGGACCACTTGCAGCGCTCCTCCTGAGAGTCCGTCGACGAGTCTGAGCCCTAATGGCCCGTTCTTCTTCTTCTCGCTCTCGTCGAGGCCGCTCTCACGGACTGCACGGAGTCGCACTCGAAAGGCATACTCCTGAAGGCTGCCCGGTGAGCCATCGAACCTGGGCACACCTTTGCCTTCAGTCTGGCCGGTCATCATCTCGGATTGAGCCTCCGAGAAACGGTGCCACTTAAGGCACTCCAAGGCCGCCATCGCAGCGAGAAGCGGCCGAGTGAGGTAAAGTAGGGTGTCCGAAAGGGGATGCCAAGTCAGTTCCAACAAGCCCCCAAAAAAGGAACCAACCCTGGAGTACTAAGCTCCGGTGCCAATGTGAATGAACACACGTGTCACCCTTCAAAGCGTCAAAACAAAGAAGCTGCGGCGTCCTTTGTTCCATGACTTGAGCCATGCGGGTCGACCACACGGCAAGCAGTGAAAAGCACGACGATGGTTCGATAGGCCAACAGGTTGCTATGCAGATCTAGGTGGATTACCTTCGTCATTTTCACACACCGCCACATCAATTGCACATCTTTTGATCATTCTTGTTGCCAGGTCTTTTCAGCGTGTCTATTGCACACTGAATCAGGCACACATCGTGACAAGTTGAATCGAATATGTCACACCATGTCACACCATGTTGTGTGAGACAGTGCGGATCCGTCCATCGCAAGTACTGAGGGTGGAAGGAAACGCCGCTTTGGCGTGAGAAAAGACACTCGCCTGTCACTGGAAAAACTGTCCCTTTGAGACATACTGCAGCAAGCTGAACATTTGCTAGGTCAAGAAATGCGTAGGTCCCGTCGTCACTGTTTGCCTGGCAGGGATCTCAGAAGGCATGTGTGATCATGTCCTCCGCCTTGGGCAAGCTGTGAAACTCTTCTTGGTCAAGCTCAAAGCTTTCAACGCCCAAGATGTTGAGGTCGTCGTCAAGACCACAATGAGCCGATATGCCCTCTCAGTCATGGTCAATGTAACCAGTTTCTTCCTTGGCAAACCCTGGATCTCAGCTTCAGCATGCTACAGCAACTGTTGAGGAATCATAGGCAAAATGGAAAGAACCCAACTGCCACAAAAGTACAACCTAGAAGCGATGGCCTCCAACCAAATAGCGATGGCCTCTAACCTAAAGAAACAAAGACGGTTCTCAATTGCTCAAATGAGCTACATCCTGCTGCCTGGGTGATGCTGGCATCGAAGACTCAGGGCTTCTGAATGCAAGCTTCATCTAGGCAGCGGCAGCAGTAGCTAAAGGCTGGGAGGAGGACTGCAGAGTGTGCAGGTGTGATTGGCTAGACTCTACATGTCGGGTACCGTGAATCATTAATGCAGTTTTGAATTAGAACTAGAACTGTACACAGCTGACAGCGGACACAATGATTTAGCAGCATTGTTTACACGTTCAATACAAGTACCTGCGTATGGCGAGACAACTGGAATACATCTCAATACCACACGAAGAGTATCGTCCACACCAACCCATGACTCAAATGTCAAATGTCGTAGACAACTACTTACAACTCCGCATATTGGTTCACTGTCTGTATTTATGAATGGAAGCTCAACTGGATTTTACAAAACAGCATAAACAATCATAAATAAACATGAAAAACAACGCACATTAGTAGATTTAGTAGCTTCTTGCTCCTAGTAGCGATGGCCTCCAACCTACTTGCGGTGGCCTCCACCTAATAGCATCATCCTTGCTACAAAAAAACATCAAACATACAAATTCAGTACCTGGCTGCTGCTTGGAGCTCATTCGAGTGGGTTGAGATTCTGCGCCCATTCACGGTATTGGTTCGCGTCACATTACCCTCAAGCAATGAGGATAGCCGCTTTCCGATCTCCTTCACCTGCGGACAACGCCGTCGGTATTCTTTGACCAGCATGTCTGTCCCAACTATGCAGGAAGAATGTCCTGTCAGATCCTATTGAAAAAACATCTGAATATGTACAATACGACTTACCAGCATCCTTGGAAAATGTGTGAGCATTGATGATATTGATTTGCATTGACGACGTTGATCTCCGGAAACACCCTCAGCCAGGCTACTTCCCGCCGAAAAAGAAACGTGCCAAACGAGTCTCGTTTCGCCTGGTGTGAAATCAAGCTCTCGGATGCACAAGGGCTAAATGGCAACGAGATCTTCTTGAAAATGCTCCTGTAAGCCTCGCACAGCTTTGGGCCACATTCTGGTCCCATGTCATCAGTGGAAAGCCCTTGAGCAGCCAGGGAGGTATAGAATTCGGAGCCTCAGCAATTCAAGATCCACCCCGCAGACTCCAAAGGGAATCACCTACTTGGTTTGGATCTGCAAGAATTCTCAAAATGATTATTGAGCCATATTGAGCCACTGGGAAAAGTGAAATTTGGATCTGCGCTCACGATCACCATCTTTTGCCAAGCATAGCTATCGCTTGCATTGCTCAAAGATTTCACCATCGCCAGTCCAGTTGAGGATGTGGCCAGGTCAGAATGGTCCTCAAATTCAGCCAGACTTCACGGACCTAGACTTCACCCTGAGGGCATTCTTCCATGAGTCTGCTGCGAAACCCTGCCTCGGTCTCTTGAGCATAAGCTGCTAGAACCATGCCTGCAGGGCAATGCCACTGCTTGAAACACATTTGATGCTAGTGTCCACTTTGCCTCTGCGAATATTTGGTGCCTACCGATACAATCCGCTGCATAGGTTTCTGAGGCTATGCAATTGTATTAAGTGTCCCAAAAAATCTAGGAACAAAATCATTAGTGTGAGCGCTTCTTCAAGGAAGCTTCCCCCACCGCCCTGGAGGAGTTTCCTTGAAGAAGCGCGAGCTATCTTGCGTCCAGTCGGTAGTCAGCTACTTGAACTACTAGCTACCTAGCGACTGCCAGCTACTACCTCTACCGCCTACCCCCCCCCGCGGGCTAACAAAAGGAGCACCACGCCCCAAATTCCAATACCACGATCGGATCATTGGCGGATCGGATCCCGCCTGCAAAGGTGGGGTCGTACAAGATGCCGGTGTGCAGCAAAATTATCAGGGTCTCAGCTTTGTTGAGTGCCTGATGCATTTGCCCGGTGGATCTTGGCACCAAAACGTTCCTTAGGAGATAAGCAGCTCGGTGGGGTAGCCCACACCGGAATGATAATACTAAAGTTGCGACATGTTCATCTTTCAGAACTCGAAGTCGAACATGTGTGTCTTTTGGTTTGTTCTTTATCTACAATCGTGTAATGGATAAAATCCGCCCGCACCGAAGGTGCTGAGGCGTGTTATAGGGTTCGCATGATTCCGTAGTACCGTTAGTACTAACTGTAGCGTTAGCTAGGGGGGGGGCATTTTCGCTCTAGAATCCTGTGTTTTTCACGTTTTTGGAATCGGCTTAAAGTGCTTTCGTGCTAATGTTGGGCATCTTGAAGGCTTTAGGGATGCAAGAAATGCGAGTTTCTGCTTTGCATCATCTGCATCAGCTGAATCATCTGAGCGGCACACTATCTAACGGACATGTCTGCGAGATAGGGACTTGAATGTCCGGGTACGTGGGTGGTCAGGAGCAGAGATAAGCAGGTCAGGTCCAGGAACGGTAATATTATCTCCCGAGCATAGCTCCCATATGGTCGAACATAACTCCAGAAGTCCCTATCTCAAGTGCGCTTCCTCGAGATAGGTACTTGAACGTCGTAAACACCCTGAGTCTGCAGATCAACTAAATTTAGTTTTTGGATGAAATCAATGTAATTGAAAAAACTAGTTGGTTTCCTAGTAAATTTTGGAAAAACTAATTTTTCATAGTAAATTTCAACAAAGTCAAAACAACATAGAAACAGCATAGAAACAACATATAAACAACATAGAAACAGCATAGAAACAACATATAAACAACCACAACAGTCAACACAAAAACAACACAGAAACAAACAAAACATGGGTTTGGAAGTTACACATGAAGTTGGTTTTCACAGGTAACACACACAAGTAGCATTGGAATGAACTGACACCTTCGAAGTTTGTCTTCACAGGTAACAGACAAGAATGGTTTCCAACATCAACTCACAAGCAATTTCTTTTTCTTTTTGCTGGGATGTGTGAAGCCAGGTGAAACTCAAAGCTTGCCCTGCAACCACATTAAATGGCGCTCTTTCCAGGCTGCTTTTTTGGAAGCTTGCCAATGCTTGGTGCCAGCTAGGCAACTCTTCCAAAGGGTCTGTGCCCTGTGCATGGTACTCTCACCCTTGTAGCACCACAGCAAAAATGGGTGGATGTACTTGGAAAATTGGAGACTATGAAGTGCAAAGTGGGTCTTCGATGTGACATTGAAAAATTTTATGTCTTGTGCTTCGAAGTGTTCACTCATTTGTTTGTGCAGCTGAGCCATAGTCAACCCTGCCTGAAAAACTTTGTCATATTGTGCCTGTGGAATTGCAGTAAACCCATATGTAGGAGAAAAGGTTTCCAAAGTTCTCTTGAGCTCAAGATTGTATTGTAAGAACAATCTGACACGCGCGTGCCACTCATCTCCTGCTTGCATTTGTTCTTGCCAAAGGTCATGGAGACAGTGTGCCAAACCTGCTATGTCTGCTGCCCTTCCTCGCAGTTTAGGGTATCCTTTTTTTGGTTGAAACATGGTGAGCTTGTCCAGTTTCATCTTGTATGGGTGCTTTGCCTGATTCTGCTTCTGGTGTTGCTTGATGTAGTTGTAGACAAACTGCAGGTTGTCCAAAGGCTCACCCTCCAACAAATAGTACACAAGTAAGTGGATGACAGATCCAAAGAAATGTTGTAACCAACCAAGATGCATTGTATGCATGAAATCCATGGCTAAGCATTGGTTGCTGAAGCCTGCCATGGTGTACAGTGGCCCTTTAGGGCTCCAGTGCTCTTTGTAATTGCTTGGCATAAGCAGTGAAGCTTGCCAGGGGCTGTCTTTTCGGTTGTCCAAATAGGACATGGGTCCTGCAAAGGAAGCTCGACAAAGAGGACAGGGTTTTTCATGATTGGTCACCCTTGGTGTCTCCAACCATTTGCTCATGTAGTCTAGATCCCCTGCCAGCTGAAGAAGTATTGCGCAGTAGCCTTCAGCCAAGTCTTTGCCAGTCTGGCTTCCTTTGATCCCAATGCAAATGGTTGGCCCTGCCAATCCACCAAAGGATATTTCCCTGAAGCCAATGCAGAAAAAGACCGCTTCATAATTGTCCAAAACACTTCCATTGTTCCCAAAGCAGATCCAGCAGCTGGGACCACATATTTTTCGAATATGCCCCAAATGTAAAGGTGTGCGTCTTGAAAGCCAGCTCCACCTGCTGATGCCATGATGGAAAACCATGAAAAAACCAGTGCACACTTACACCAGATTTTTCCAGTGCCTAAGACTGGCACCTCATCACCGTGTAATCCCAGTGGTATGGTGAAGCTCTTCCATCCCTTCCTTCTTCTACATGGATGGGACTGCATACATGGGTGGCCTTCAAAAGAATTCCAAAAACCAGGAAGTTTGGCTGGATCTGGGAGGATGCATTTTTCCCAGGCTTCATCCTTTTGGTACATAGCTGCAAAGTACTCGTGTGGTAGAAGGAGGGAGTGTGATCCACACTACCCTTCATAGGCATGTGAACCTGGAG